ACAGTTCATTTATGAGCAAAAAAAAAAAAAAAAAAAAAAAAAAAAAAAAAACAGGAGGTCTGGGGGGAGGGGAACACTCCCCGGCGAAGAAACACGCATTGTTCCCGGGTGCCCGCCCCCCCCAACTCCCGGCCAACCCCCGGCCGTAGCGCATTGGCCCTGCGCGCCGCCCATCAGGCGCATGTAAACACCTTGGCCCTCAGCCATTCCTATAAAACCAATTACGGACCTCAGGGCTTCAGCAGTTTCCAGGCTCCCCACGGCGGGGCTGAATGATCCAAACTGGTGGTGAGAATTTTTCCGAGCCGTTTCTAGGCAGCCCTTCCCTCTCCTCCTCCTCCTCCTCCTCCCCCTTATCCAGCCAGAGCTGCTCCCCCTCCCCCTTTCCTCCTCCTCCCTTTTCCTCCCCCCTCCATCCCACATCCCAACCCCTCCTCCAAACGTCTGGACTGAGTGATCAAAATAGAGGAAGATGGTTGTCGCCGCAATCCCTGGGCTTCGCCAGGCGCGGTTTAATGGGTCGCCTGTCAGTTTCCTGCGCGCTGGAGGAGGTGACAACCCCGGGAACACGGCAGGGCCCGGAGGCCGGCAGGCTGCACGGTGCGCCCTCGCCTTGTCCTCCCAGCTCTCCCGGGGTGCTCCTCCCGAAACCGTGGTGGAGACGCCGACATAGACAAGACTTGCTTTTTTTTCCCTCTCCCCTCTTTTTTCTTTCTTTTAAAACAAAGCGTCGATTCATTCCCTCTTCCCCCCCACCCCCAGCAACCGCGGTCCGGTGGGATGGGCAGACGACAAGGTCGTTTTTTGTTGTTTATTTTTTTCCCTTTTGCCCCAGCCTGCGAGTCCCTCCCTGAAACGCGGTGTCAGATGGTTTTTACTGATTAATATTTTGGACAGGCCGCAGCGGCGGGTGAGTGTGCATATTTTTTAAAAAGGGGCTTCCTATAGAAACCCGGGCTGCACCGTGCGCCCCTCCCCAAAGGGCGCCCCTCCTTTTCCCTCCCCCCCCACCCCAAGAAAAATCAGAGCAGAAAAAAGGATTAGATCGGCGGAGCGCGAGCTGAATCCCTCTCGATTCTGACTTTTCAGCCTATTAGCATGTCTCCACGGGGCCTTCTGAAACCTATTAAAGTGTAATATTAAAAACCTCTTGGCTGGGGGCCTCTCTCGCCTTCCATCCGTCGCTCCCCCTCCAGGGAGGGCGAGACCGGGAAGGAGGAAAAAAAATCTGTTGCTCTCTGAGGAAGCTAGCAAGCCAAGCCCCAAAAATGCTGGGCTGGCCAGAGGGGGAGGGGAGCCCCCATCCACACTTTGTACTTTTATTTTGCTTTTTCAGCAAAAAAAAAAAGTCCTTTCTGCGTTGAATCACTGGAGCAGCCCACAGATCTACAGATCTACCTGGCTGGGAACATAAGGAGTGCTGTACTCGCATAAGGGTCAGGTCCTAGAATAAGGGGGCCCCGCACCCCCTCTCCGGGCCCAGCTAGGCTTTACCTACCCTGGGAAAAGGAGCTTCGAGAGCCTTGTCGATCCTGCCTCGGAGTGCAACCGTGGTGATAGAATTTTAATTAAAACAAGAGAAAACCCGCTCTTTCGCCCCTCTGCGGACTCAGCGTTTTCGAATGACTCCTGTTTTTTTTTTAAGAAAATTCATTTTTTAAGGCAACTTTTCTAGAAGGTTTTTTTTTTAATGAGCTAGTTAGCGCCCATCCGTTCTATTTTCTCCACTTTTAGAAAGAAAAAAAAGAGGGGGAGGGTTCGAGAAAACTGGAGGGGGGGTGTCTAATTTAATTCCAGGATAAATTTGAGGGGGGGAGTTGGGCCTCTTGAGAGCAGTTTCAAGTTGCCCTTCTTGGAGCCTCCAGCACTGGTTTCTAGGCTACCCTCTTTTGGAAGCCTGGAGCTCGGAGGGGTGGGAGGAGGGAGAAGAAAGAAACGAAAATAGCCGGAGCGGAGGGGAACTGAGCTGCTGTGTGTGCGGGTCTCAGTGGTAGCCAGGGCTGCAGGAGGCGCCTGGTGCAGCCGGGGGACGGCCAGGAGCAAAGGCGGAGAAAAGGGGGGTAGAAAAAAAAGGAGGTATTGTGTCTGTATCCCTTAGGGAAGGAGGGAGGATGGATGCAAGAAATAAAATAAATGCAGTTGAGCTGCATCGGACTGCTGGAAACCCAGGCAGAGAGGAATAGGCCTTGAGGGTGGGGGGCACCCGGCGCCCTTGAGGCCTTTGTGGGTTCTCAGTTAAACCCTCCCACGACTGAGCCCCACCCCCATGGCCCTCCCAAGATTCAGAACCCAGGCCCTGATCTCTCCCACCCCCAACCGTCTTATCCCTCTCTCGGGATCTGGAATGTTTTTCTTATTTTAATATAGCTTTAAAAAAAATGTATCTTGAGATATTTGGAGAGAATTGTGTGAAAGGCTTGCGGGGTTGGGAAGAAAAAACAACAAAGGCCTGTTTTTATAAATGTTTAATGTTTTTACCCCTCGATGCTCCAAGCCCCCTAATTGTGACGGCGGGATATATGTGCCATAAATCATTTAGTTGCTAATAAAAAATTCTGCCGATTTGCCTGGAATTTGCCAACGGCGTTTGCATTTTTTTTTTCCAAGTGTGTACCCTGCGTGGCAAACTGAGCGGGGCGTTTCTTTAAGGCGGCGGCTGCAAACAGACTATGGCCCGCTCCGGGTTAAAAGGTGCAGCACCCGCCCCCCCCGCCCCCCCAGGTTACCCTCTCTGCTCCCCTCGACCTGCCAACACGGCCCTCCGGCCACACAGTGGGCTGAGCCGGGGAAACCGGTAGCTCTGGATTCCAGGCCACCAGGGCGGGGAGCCTAGGGCAGATCCTACCCGACCTGCATCTCCAGGAGGCCAGGTGCAAGTACGTGGGATGCAGGCGAGGGGCCTCCACGTGTGCACCCCATTCTTTGCCCCCTCCAGGTCTCTGTGCCCTGATACCCCCGCAGTCTCTAGGTAAACAGCGTTCGGAAGCCATCTTGGGGTGTGGGAACAGTTCCCAAGAGGAGTGGAATCTGCAGGCCTGTCCCCTTAAGAGTCTTCCCCAACTCACACACCCCATAGAGCCTCTCAGCACCCCTAGCTTGGCCTCAAGGTCTGGAAAAATATCCTCCAAGCTGGGGTGGGCCAGACTACTCGTCCAGACGCCATTTTCCGTGCCCCATCCCCCATCCCTTCTCTCCTGTTTACCAGGCAGGATCCGTGGCCAAAACAACGGGTGTTGACGCAGTGGGTATGTATGTGTGTGTTTTGTACTGACTGGGCGGAAAATTGGTTGGGGATTTAGTGGGGAGACCTCCACGCAGTCCCAAACCACAGTCTCCGGAGAACCCACTCAGGACGGCCTGTCTGGCCCAGCGTGGTTGTCCCTCGCAGGTTCTGGCCGCCCCAGCCAAGACCATGGGTGGGTTCCTCCAGGCCCCTGGCCCCATTTTGGTGCCCTGGACAAATCCCCACTGACAAAACTCTCCCTCTTTTTTTTTGTAAAGCCAGAGGACAGGCCAACCTTGAGCGCGGATGTCTCTCCTGCTGCGCGCCTTTGTCCGCTCCAGGGAATCCGCCTCTCACATTTCTGCCCCATGCAATAGTGAACCCTGATCTTCCAGAATCCCGACGTTGCAGGCCGTGTGTAAAGGTTCTCCCGTGCTCCTCCCCCACATAGGGTGCATTTTTTTTTAAAGCCTGTATCCATCCCTTAGAGTGGACAAGAGGACACCCAAGCCTCCCCATCCGTTGCCCTGAACCATGTTTCCCAAGAGGTGCATAAGGACAAGGTGCCTCCGAACTCCACTAAAGTCTAAATGAAGGGGAGACCCCAAGGGATCGCTGGCTTCAGACTCCCGGTGGAGAAGCCACGGACTGAGTCTCTAATGCGCAGGTTTCCGCAGGTCCTAAATCCGGCTACCCGGGAGCTCCCGGGCGGATGCAGCTAAAACCCGGAGAGGCCGCGCCCAGCCCACCCCTGCTCCCCGCGTCTCTCGCTGCAACTGGCCCATCAGCGGTTCTGTATCCAAGAGGTTCAGTCAGCCGGAAGAGAGCAGCCCGAACCCGCCAGCAAGACCAAGGATGCCAGCGCCTCGAATGCCACCAGGTCCCCAGCGCACGACGGGCAGCCCTGGGGTGGTGGCGCCTGGCTCAGTGGCTGCAGATTCCAGCTCCTCTCAGCCCCGCCTCCGACTCTGGCCTCTTCCTCTGGCTCGGGTCGGGTCTTCCACTCCACTGTTTGGCTCGGAGAGGACATAGAAGCGTTTGTTTCGCATGGGACTGGCTGGGGTCATAAATCTCTCCTACCCACCGCTCGCTTGCGGGTGTTCCAGGCCGGCCTTGCATCCCGGGCAGGGCGGGACACTCTGCCCAGGTCACACAGCCTGGGGACCCCGAGACCACGCAGGGGATCAAGCCAAGAGCTTCCCTTTCTCCAAAGAAAGAAACAGCCTCACTCCGTACTACTACTAGCAGTGTCAGGCTACTCCGATCATTGTCTCGGGTAGGGAAGTCTGGGCCCGGGTTCTTCCCTTTAGAGAGGCTTGGTGAGACTGGGTTTGGTGTGTGGCCCCTCGACCATGGAAGGGTAACCCCAGGATCTGTTTCTGAGCCGACTTCTCCTCTCTGGGGACCCTGCAATAATTAATTTCACGACCTTGGAGCCCTCCGCGGGCGCACAAGGATCGATTTGGCGAGCGGGGGCGTCCGACAACTAATCTCGGAATTACTCTTGGAATGCCTTCCCCTTCTTGCCAAGGACACCCGAAGATTTTTCCCTTGGTGATCGCGACTGCCACCACCGTGGTACTCATAACCGAACCATCTAGAAAGAAGTCATTGGTTGTCTGTCGGTAGCGGGGTTAGGACGAAGGTCTCCCTGAGAAGGGACTGCCTGAGTGGGTGCATCTGCAAATAACGTTTAATGCCACAGGAATTCAATCCTGGGGACCAGCACCAGTAAAGGGGCTTGGCAGAGGACTCAAGGTGAGGAAAAGCATTCACCCCCTCCTGGGTGTCTGCCCGTGCCAGATCCAGGGGCGCAGGGGCTTGGAAATCTCGTTCTCACCCAAGGAGGTTTTGGGGCTCCTTATAAGATTTCCGATAACACATTCAGAAGGACCTAGGGCGCAGAGAAATTAGAGCACAGATCGAGGTTGCAGGGAATGCGCTACAGGCTGCCGATCCACATTCCGGGCCAAGCCTCGGAAAAACAAAGCTTTGCCAGTTCCCGTCCCAAGGTTAAACTCCACCGCAAGCATTTTTCTTTTTCTCCTCCCCCCCCTTTTTTTTTCTAACCCTTTCCTCTCCAGAATCCGAACGATAGCATTATTCCAAATAAACTACCAATAAATCAGCTTAGGTGACCTTGGAATGTTTTCCTGCTAGACCTGTCCGAAGACAGGCGTCGGGGGAGGGGACCGAGTTTCAGGGCCCCCCTACACACACAAGCCCGACAGGCGGAAGGGGGGGGAGGGGGGGTGTAGTCAAGGGCATTAATGGGTGTTTACTGTAGTTATGTATTGGCCCTAGGAGCAGGGGGGAGTTTGCAGTGAGTTTGTGGGGGTGGGGATGCAGTGTTCAGTCATAGGGTCCTGACTGCAGCAGGAAGGATGATGTACCCCAGTTTGTGGTGTCCCCATTTGCAAACTCCGTGCTAGTCCCAGGGGAAACTGGGGAACTAACCCCTTAAGGACAAACCAGCCCTCTTTAGGGAACTCAGGTCTTTGTCTGGGTGTGACTGGGTGTGTTCCTAAGCCAGTTTGTGCGGGGTGTGACTAAAGGGATTTGTGTATGTGAGTGCCCGGGTGACTAAAGTAGGACTTGGCAGCACGTGTATTTGGGGAGGGGCGCTGCACCCAGAAGGGGAGTCAGTGTCCCAGGAGGGGGCTGCCTGCGCACCGAAGTTCCCTCCCCCTCCTCCTGGCTCCCAGCTTTGTTTGGGCCTCAGCTAAGCTCCCTGGCAGGCCGGTACATGCTAGAGAGGTCTGGCGCAGATTCCACAGCATTCCTGGGGCCCTGGGGCAGCTCCTGGCCTCCCGCCTCCTTAGCCCACGTGGTGCCTCCAAATCTGGGCTGGCCACTTCCAAATTGGGACTGTCCCACCTCTGTGATAGAACCCTCCCAACTCCCTCTTTTTCACACTGGGAGCTGCCCTAACAACTTCTTAGAGGAGACCCTTGAGACACAACTTGGAAGTGGGGGGGGTCATATGGAACCCCAGCCCCCTTTTCTGTTTTCTTTTGGTGCTTGAAATGGAATCCAGGTACTCCATACATTCTAGGCAAAAGCACTAACTGGACTGAAGAGATAGTTCAGCCAGTTTTAGTTCCCACATGGCAGCTACCTAAGGTTATAACTCCAGTTCCAGGGGATCCAATGGCATCTTCTGGCCTCCCTGGGCATTGCATACAGATGGTACACTTACATACATGCAGGGAAAACACATAAAATAAAAATTAACATTTTTGAAAAAAAAAAGAGCTGTAGGCAGACATGGGGATCCCTGTGAGATCCGGGCCAGGCTGGTCTACATAGTGAGTTCCACGCCAGCTATTGTCTCTCAAAGAGACAATAAAAAAAAAAAAACTCCAGCCCAGACAATGGGGGCATATGCCTTTAATCCCAGCACTTGGAGGCAGAGGCAGGTGGATCTCTGAGTTCAGCCAGCCTGGTCTACTTAGTGAGTTCCAGGCCAGCTGGGGCTACAGGGAGATCCTATGAGTGTTTTGCCAACATGAAGTACACCATGTGCATCCATGTAATGCCTGCAGAGGCCAGAAGAGGGCACTGGATTTCCTGGAACTGGAGTTATGTTAGCTGCTATGTGGGTGCTGGGAACCAAATGCAGAACCTCAGCAAGAACAGCCAGTGTTCTTAACCACTGAGCCATCACTCCAGCTCCCTTTAGAGGATTACTTTACAAAACAAAACACAACTGAACATCATAGTTTTCCACACCTATAATTGCAGTATTTGGGAGGTAGAAGCAGGAGGATGAAGTTCAAGGCTAGCCTGGGCTACATGATGAGACCCTGTCTTTTATTTTTATTTATTTATTTATTTGGTCTTTCTGAGACAAGGTCTCCCTGTAGCCCAGCTGGCCTGGAACTTACTATGTAGACCAGGCTGGCCTCAAACTCACGCAGAGATCTGCCTGCCTCTGCCTCCTGAATGCTGGAATTAAAGGCATACACCACCACAGACGGCTCTGACCCTGTCAGGGGGTGGGAACTGGAGAGATGACTCAGCAGTTAAGATTTCATACTGCTCTTCCAGAGGAACCTGAGTTCAGTTCCCACCACCCTTGTCAGGCTGCTTACAACCGCCTGTGACTCCAGGGAGATCTAGGCACTGGCACTAATATGCATATAGCCACACTCAGACACGTACACATAATTAAAAATAATAAAAATAGGCCGGGCATGGTGGCGCATGCGTTTAATCCCAGCACTTGGGAGGCAGAGGCAGGCAGATCTTTGTGAGTTCAAGGCCAGCCTGGTCTACATAGTTTAGGTCAGCTGGGACTACAGGGAGACCCTGTCTCAAAAAGACAAATAATAATAATAATAAAATTAAAATAAATAAGTAAATAAAAATAAGGGTCTGGAGAGATGGTGCAACAGTTAAGAACACTGGCTTGCTCTTGCAGAGGACCAGGATTAAGTTCCCAGCACCCACATGGTGGCCAACAACTGTCCATAACTCCAGTTCCAGGGAATCCAACAGCCTCTTCCAGCTTCCACAGGCAACATGAGTGCACTTACATGCAGGCAAAATACTCGATACATAAAATAAGAATTGCAGTGAGTTTGAAGGTAACTTGGTCTACATAGTAAGTTCAAGGTCAGCCAAAGTTACATAGTGAGACTTGCTTCCTAAAAAGGAAAATAAATGCATACTAGTATAGTGGTGCATGCCTATAATCGCAGAACTTGAGAGGTGGAGGCATGAGAAGCAGGAGTTCAAGGTTATCCTCAGCTGCTTTGCAGTTGGAAGCCTGGGATACATAAGATCCTCTCTCAAAAAAAAAATCAATAAAGAGGACCTGTGAGGGGTTGAGGGATGGCTCGGTGGTTAAGAACACTGCTCTTGCAGAGGACCTGGGTTCAATTCCCAGCACTAACTCCAATTCCAAGGGATCTCTTTTCTGGCCTCCACAGGCATTACATGGATGCACTTACATGCAGGCAAAACACTCATACACATAAAATTAAAATAAATAAATTCAAAAGAGATTGGGGGGGGGCTGGCAAGACAGCTCAGCAGATAAAGGCACTTGCCTCCAAGTCTGACAACCTAAATTCAATCCCCAGAACCCACAAGATGGAAGGAGAGAACAGGTGTGCCCATACACGATAATAAATGTAAAAAATAATTTTTGTCCTTTAATCCTAGCACTCGGGAGGGAGGCAGAGGCAGGTGGATCTCTGTGAGTTCAAGGCCAGCCTGGTCTACATAGTGAGTTCCAGGACAGTTGGGGCTACAGGGAGATCCTGTCTCAAAAAGACCAAAAAATAAAAAATAAAATAATTTTTGTCATAATCAAAAAAATCAAGGGCAGTCCCTAGTTTGGCCTGAGGTGCTAGGGATGGCTGAAGTCAGGCAAGGCCAGGGCCACTTCCCACTGGAGTTCAGGAAGACAGTAACGCCCATCTATACCCACAGACCCAGGGGGAAGATTAGTTTGGAGGTCCACACACCTGGAAAATTCATATCCCTGAATCGCAGCCCCATAGTTCCTCTCTGCATCTAGCATCTTTGCCTGTTGGAGACACACTGAGAGGGTCCCTAAGACCCAGATTAGTCTTAGGGAGCAACAGTAAATGAGGCCAGTCCCCAGCCAGGAGCAGCAAGTGGGTAGGGCTCACCATGCCCCAAATCTCCTGAGCTGAGAGGCTTCCTGTTGTTTCCCCCCCCGCCCTCACACACACACACACACACACACACACACACACACCATGCAAGCACTCATTTCTCATCATCTCGCCCCCTCCTTTTTTTCCTTTTTATTTTTCTCTGGCATTTTCTTTCAAGCAGGAAAGAAAAACATTTCCCCTGGCTACAGCTTTGAAAGCTCTCCCCACCCCGTCCCTGCACTAGCCCGCACCCACTCCCACTTCACTTCAATCCCTTTCCATCCCTGAAAGTCAAAAAAGTAACCCTCTAAGATCAAGCCTGACAGAAGCCCTGCCCAGTTCAGCTTCATTGAAGTACCTCCATCTTTCTTTCCTCTCTCCCCACCCCAGAGAGGAGGGAGCAGGAGGCAGAGACCCCCACAGCTTCAGCAGCCATCTCTGGAGAACCTTCTAGAACTGCTCCAGCCAGAAAGCCCACTTGATTTTTTTTTCTTCTAGAAACCTGGATTCTCCAGGATACACCTGCTTTGCTCTGCTCCCCCATACAGCTCCCCCTTCTGGGGGGCTCTGTTACAGATTGAGTGATTCCCCCAAGCCCTGATTCCTGTGTGGTGTAGCAATTTTCCTTGAAATTATCCTCCTAGAGGGGTGGCACAGACTCCTGAGATTCAAAAAGTAAAAGAAATTTACAAAACTCAGGAGGCTTCTGAAAATTACAAGATTCCCAAGGCCCCTACCCAAGGTTATACAAAAAGTAACAACTGTTTCCTGAGGTACAAGCACCTTTACACACTGAGAGGTTTTGCTGGCCTACCATCTTCACCATTTTTTTAAAATTAATTTGTTATATTTATTTTATGACTGTATTGCTTGCAAGCATGTAAGTTTACCTGTGTTGTGCAATGGCTGCAGAGGTCAGAAGAGGGTATTGGATCCCCTGGAACTGGAGTTACAGAGGGTTATTAGTCACCATGTGGGTGCTGGGAACTGAACTCAGCGCTCTTAACCACTGAGCTATCTCTCCAGCCCTCCTTCCTTCTCTCTAGCCTCTTTCTCCCCTCCCTTCTTCCTCTCCCCACCCTCCAGCTCACAGTTTCAATTCCTTAATTCCAAACTTAATAAACTGCCCCCATGGCCAATGAGTCTAGCCTTCCCAAGCAGCTGATGTGACCCATTGCATCTTCCCCTGATGGTCACACAATGTCCCCCTTCCTTGATCACAGTGTAGCCTTGACACTCCTTCTTAGGTGCTAGAATCTTGCATCTTATAAACGGGCACACTGTGTGACTTCCAAAGCAGGTCAGAAGGGGTGGCCAGGTTGGACGTTGCTGAAGAGTGTGTACATGCACATGCAGAGCCCAGAGTCGCCAGAGGCCATTGCAGTGTCTAAGGGACGCTCAGGAAACGAGGAGGAGCCACACACAGGGATCCCAATCAGGATCACAATGGACAACAGCCCCCAGCACCACAGGAGAACAAGCAGAAAGGGGAGGGGCCCC